GAATAGGATAGATATTGAATAAATTAGTGATTTTTTCAACATATTCGAGTATGAATATGGCAATGTGGGTTTGAAAGTAGGTGCACAGGTAAAAAGTGATTGTGCTTGTGCGACCGAGCACTGGTTCGTTAGCCAGCCATGGTGGGAGACAAAAATTTCTTATGTTTTTGAAAATTCATTTACCAAACGTACTTACAGGGTACGGAGGTCCGCGGGCCCCCAGTCGGTGCGCAGTGCGAACACTATGATGGAAGAGACGAAGTACATCATAGATCACTGGCGGCTTCGCTTGTTGTGGTTGCGAGTGGCGATGACTGGTCCGTAGGCAGCACGGAAATTTTGGAGATTGCGCGCCTGCCTTGGTCTTCACTACGACGACACGGATGTTTCCGATGTGAGTCATTCCGTCAGAACGCCATTTGAGAGATGGGTGTTCGTCGTCTTTCGTAAGAACTAATGTTCCGATAACGATGTTATTCTTTTCGTATGTCCACTTCATCCTTGGCTGCAGTCCAGACAGGTACTCCGTGGTCCTCGCTTCCAGAGCCGACAAAGGTGAACTTCCTGACAACGATATAACCGGTTAAGAGGTAGCTCTTCTAGCAAACGTTCCGCAATGGCTATGAGCGAACAATATATTAAGAAGTACCATCTTCAGGGTCCATCGATAATTGAGTTAGAGGCCGAGAATTCATGCAGCTCTCGATTTGAACAAGAAGTGTCGTCACCTCTTCGACCGTCAGGTTCGAATTTCTGAGGGTGGCTTTGAGGAGGTGGGTCTAGAACGATTTGATGGCTGCTTCCCATTGGCCACCCAATGTTCGGGGAACGAGGAGGGATAAATTTGAAGTCTATGCCATCTTAGGCACACGAACGAGTGACGGCTTTCTGCAGCTGCTGGTCTTAAAACTTGGCAGGTTCTGCCACTTCCCGAGGAAGCATCTCGAAAATTCTGAGCGTTGTCGCACTCGATGAGCTATGGTTTGCCTCGACGTGTGATGAAGCGCCTAAGCGAGAAACAATCCCGTTCGGAGATCGCCATCGAGCTCCATATGAACTGCCTTTATCGAAACGCAAACGAATACCGCAACGTGTTGCGATTTACGTTGAGGATAGCGAAAGCAGATAGGACCACACAAATCAACGCAAGATTTCGAACACGCAAAGGTCAGAATTTTTCCCTGATGCTTGCCAAAAGTAACTGCAGTCTAGAATGTAGCATTTTCTGGTGGCAGTATCCAGCGATCAGTTCTGATAACGGGTGCTCTGAAGGCTGAATCATGAGATGTTTTCGGTCTGTAGAAACTGTAGCGTAGTGCAGCCGGCCACCTACCTACTCACAGGAAGTCTTGTTCAACCAATTGCGTTAGCGCCTTCGACTTGGAGGACGATTTGACCTCTCTACTATTGGTCAGCAAAGCGAAGACTTCTCGAAAAATTTCATTTTGTGCTATTTGAACGACACATCTGTTAGCTTCCTCGAGTTCTGTTATGGTCAGAAAATACATTCGACGTTATGTGTGGTTAGCAGGATTATAATTTAAGGAAAAACTACCGAACATTCAGCTGTTCTCATTAACATTACTGAAGTTCATTAGTTTTTGCAAGAAACTACTGAATGCGGTAATAGTAATTACTGAATTAACCGTAAAATAACAGTTTTACGGGAAATGACCAAAACTCAGTTAAATACAACACCGAGTTTTCAGTACTAATTATGTTTTACTGAAACATTCATCATACGAAATTCCAAAATTACTGGTCACACTAGTAAATTGGACTCCTTTACGTCATTCTCCTTTGTTCCACCTCGCGCACTTGACTTCAGAAATTTATGTGTGAAAACAGCAACATGTTTTTGAAAATAAGTTAAATGACTGGAAGTCAACGCAGGAGTGCAGAATCATTCAAGAAATCCGGCAGTTTCTGCACTCCGACATCGACTTCCAGATTTTTATGTATGATAACGAAGATTCTAAAACGGTCTAACCAAGGTATTGTTAATCTGGTTTCCAGGATGAATACGATTTACAGAAACACTTGTTGTCTGTTCTGCAGACTATGCAGTATGCACTAAGAGAGCGAGACCCTGCTCGCATCGTTTATTAACGTGCTTGCTTTTTACACATACGTACAATGTACCTATTTGATCGCTACAATAATAGCTTCCCTGTTAAGAGGGGCATACACTATAGTTTTCCCCCCTTCAGAAGTTTACAAAACGGTAAACAAATTTCTCAATTTTTTGCTGGTTTGACAATTATCAACATTTTAAAACAATCTAAGCTAAAAAACATCAATTAATTTAGAGCTTAAGTTTAAGTTACCCTTTGGTTTAGTTCGATCTAGTTGGCTTTTTCGAGCACACTAACTTCAGCGATAGCTTTATCAAAATTCTGATAGTTTTTACTCAATAGCAACGCTTTCTCGTATTGTAAAAATCTTCGATCTTCTTTTGTCTGTTGGTATTCACAAAAACACTTTTCACCTTGTATCGACAACCTTATCGCCCACCAATAAACTCGATCTAGGTCTCGGCAACCGGATGTTTTCTTATGTGCTTTCACCTTACATCCGTTATAAACCGCGATGACCCAAAATGCGGAAGTTTCCGTTCGTGATACGTTCAGCACACATCATCGATTTTCATCGTGCAGGAATTTCTTCGATTGGGAGCACAGATAGCCATTGCTTCCTTCATTGTTTAGTTAATATGACCAGCCATCAAACTGCAGAGAAATTTCTGAAAAGTCGACCTAAACAAAAGAAATAAGAGAAAACACACTCTTATTTACGGGTTAATACAGTTTTCTCCAAACCTTGTTAAATTATAATAGTGATTATTTCAATGTAGATGTATTCAGCAGTATAAAAGCAATTCCACTCTCAATGTTAATCTCACTCTTTGTGTTTTTATTATTAAATTGAAGCTACCATTTAAAAATGGCGCCCTTGCACATTAATGTCATGCAGTCATTCACATACCGTTTCGTTAAATTTTAACTATTTATTTTTTTCCTAAAAAAACACTCTTCTCACCCACCGTGCCACCAAACAGCTCAGCTCGCTTACCCTAAACAACAAAACTGCTTGTATTACATTCAATTGCACCAATCGGCGCCTTACATTGCTGATGTATGTTCGTTTTCGTCGCTCAACAGTTCTTTAAATTTGGCATACCTTGGACAGACAGTTCATCAGCCATACAACATGTAACCCATGCCCAGTTGGGTAGTGGTAAAATAAAATTTCACAAATTTTCTCGATCAATCCTCTATTATAGTAATTTGTCTACATGCAGGTCTCACAAAACCGCAAACAAAATGGACTGATTAAATTCCACCTCTAAATATCACTATTCAGTTCCACGTTTCTCTATACAATTTCAATGCAATTACACTAATCGGTGTTCAACGGTAGAAGTCCTTTAATTCGTCCTATAGCCAACCAGCTACGCGGACAACTTTACAGTTGCAGTTAAAACAAAATGCATTCAGGGATTTTTCCATTTACCGAGTTTTCAGTTAAGCCCAAAAACTACTGAATTTGATTGCTGAAAACTCAGCTGTTTAAAAACCCAGTAAAATTTTATCGACTTCGGTAATCTAAACTCTGTGTGTATATAGGGTTATATAGGACAATAGTAAAATTTTTAAATTCTTGGCTACTGCGAAAACGATTTTGTATGGGATTCTTATACTACAACTCGATATTTCTATAACTTGATGGTAAGAGGCGAATTTTCAGGTGCTGAAATCTCTATATGGTATGGTATGGTGTTTGTCGTTAGGGATGTTTGTTATGTAGGTAGTCAGTAGTACATTACAGGTACAGGTTTGAATAGTTATAAAAACTTGAGTAACGCTATAATGTGATATGAGGGGCTCGGTGGCCTTAGAGCAACCGTTTTTGCTTACTGAGCAGAACATCATGAGTCTAATCTCAAGCCCATCCACATTCAAGATTCGTCAATTATTAAAAAGGAGCTCGTCAGTCTAGTGGCAAACGTTTTTGTTTACTGAGCAGAAGACTGTGGGTTCAATCCCAAGCTCCTTCGCGTTTTATGATTTTTTTTTTTTTTTTTTTTATTATAGTCACTTTAACACTCTTGGGTCATTCGTGACTTGTCCGGGGGTGAGATTTGAACTCGTGACTTTGGCGTGAGAGGTATGGATGTTAACCACTACGCCGGGGTCGCCCCCCACGCGTTTTATGATGGTTAGGACATCAATTCAGCTTATCGTTTACCAAAACGAACCCTGCTGCAAACCCAACCCTATTACCCAATATCCCAGAGATTCCTCGTTTAAGTGCAGGGGTGTTCTCGGCTTCCATCAAAGCGAGTGTCACGTCAACACATTCCTACCCCTTCCTTTCTTGACCTGTGTTCAGGCGCGGCCGGCGCTGATATTGCCTAGTTTGAGATCACCAGTTCTTACACATTGAGGATGATTGCTAGTCCCAAGCATCGTCTATTGGTTCTCTGTGTAATTACAGCTGGTCTGGCAATAACAGTGTAGCAACCGTGGGCGGTCAATCATGCTCATGCTCATGCTCTGTCTCTGAATTATGAAGTTATAGAATCCAAATAGCCCTAAATAGAACATCGGTCAAAGGAGGCATCGACTTGTGGAAATATGAGACCATTTTCAAATGTAATTTACTGCCCTACAAAATAATAATCTAAATTATTTTTATCAACCTTCAAAGTGGATTCCCATTTTACCTCAACGCTTGTTCGTTACCTCCACCCGAAAAGAAAATTGCTCAAGAAAGTGTTTTTATGATTTTTATGTAAAAATGTAATGCGAGGTTTGAACATGTGTTTCTGTCTTCCTTTGCCTGGTTACCTGCTCATCAATGAAGAATGTCGATGCCGCGTACTCGAAGTTCAATGAGTTCCACAATAAGCTGGCTGAAATGATGAATTGGATGAGCATGACGAGGCGTATGCTGTCTACGAGAAAGTGTATTACGAAGTGTCAGCGTATGTGGAGGAGATGCTCATGGACGCCGCGAAGAAGGAGAACCGACCAACGGACCTGCAAATGAACCAACAAGTGATCGTGCAGCAGCAGCCGCTGAAAGCACCGATATCAACCTTCGACGGTCAGTATGAAAATTGGCCAAAGTTTGAAGCGATGTTCCTTGACATCAAGGCCAAGTCGAACGATACGAACTCCATCAAGCTGTACCGTTTGGATGAAGCTCTCGTTGGTGCAGCAGCAGGAATCCTTGACGCAAAGACTATGAGCACGCATGGACGATTCTCACAGAGCGTTTCGGAAACCCTCGCGTCATCATCAACACCCACATCCGTGGTTTGCTGTCGTTGAAGAAAATGACAAAAGAATCCTACCGTGAGCTACGTCAGCTCAGTTGATGCATGCGCTTGGCATATCGAAAGTCTTCGCTACTTGGAGCCAAGGTTGCAAAGACTCATTTCAGCTAAAATAATGTTTTTCGGAATAATAAAACCAAAAGATGGTATGATGGCATGTTTTACTTGTAACTTACAAGAAGAGGTTACAAAGTATGCGTTGGAAACATAAAACCTGTAAATTTTGCTTTCTATGAGTCACAATCAGCGATTTGCTGATCGCTGAGTGAGTGAGTGAGTGAGTGAGTGAGTTTGTGAAAAATCGCTGATTGTGACTCTCATGAAGTGAAATAAACAGGTTTAATATGTCAAACACATTCTTTGCAACCTCTTCTTGTATCCTACCAATTCAAAATTTGATCATGGCATCTAATTATTTCATAATTTAGAAAAACATTGTTTTAGCTGAAATGAGTCTTTGCAACCTTGCTTGGAGCAAGATCTTCTTGGTATGTCGGAGCTCATCGTCATCCACTTGCTAGCATCAGCATTGGATACGGTCACTAGGAAGCAGTGGGAAGCGACCATCGTGTGAGGAAAGCTGCCTAAGTACGAAGCTATGATAGCATTCCTGAAGCAGGAATGTGACATACTGGAGAACTGTGAAGCATCCAATCAATCTGCATCCCATCGTGTGCAGCAACGAAGGCTACAGTACAGCCGAAGTTCAACCCGAAAATCTTAGCCGTTTCAACCAACAGTGGAATCCCATAAGAATTTCCAGTGCGAGTTCCTGAAAAGTATGAGTGTGCCCCAACGTGTGAAGAAAGCACGATCCTTGGGCATGTGCTTCAATTGTCTGAGGAAAGGTCATCAACTGCGTGACTGTCCGTCAGACAGAAAGTGTTTGAAATGTCGTCAACGTCACCATACTCAACTCCATGATGATACCAGGACGAAACCAGACCATGCCGAAAGTTTGAAAGTTGCAGCGTCTGGCTTTTCGGTTCCTACACCGAAGCCGGCCAATTCCGAAGCTCAAGCTGGCCCATCCAGTGCTTCAACAAATGCCGTTAGTTCAACCTGCTCAATTCAAGCCGCACCAACCAAGAAGAACGTTCTCCTGCTAACAGCAGTGGTAAACATCTTCGATCGTTCAGCCTCATCTTTGTCGAATCCTCCTTGATTGTGGGTCCCAAGTGAATCTCATCACGAAGAACATGGCCGATACTATCGCAGCGAATATTTCACTAGCAAATGTGAAGATTTCTGGCGTGAATAACCGAATCACTAACAGTCTGGAGAAAACCGTCGTGAAAATCAATTCGCGTTGCAGTGACTATCGAGTAGCGGTAGAGTGCATTGTTACTCCTTCAGTAACTGGTGCAACTCCGAACACCAAGATCGATGTGAGTGATTTATGTATTTATCCCGGATTCCAGCTAACAGATCCCGATTTCAATACTCCTCGAGAACTCGATATGCTGATTAGCAACGGTCTGTTTTCTTCCAGCTACTCAAGGCCGGCCAGTACCGACTGGATAAACATCTTCCATAGTTGCGAGACACGCATTTTGGTTGGGTGTTCACGGGAGAATACGAAGAAACGTGTAACCAAAGTGCATCCTATTCCCACACGATCACTGTCGATGACGAGTATGATGCTGTCCAGCATTTCTGGACTGTCGATCGCTAGCTTTGAAGTGACTCTATTGCTCGAACAGCATTTGGGTTGAGATCCGTGCCTACGTGAGCAGTACGTGCAGTTCATCAGAGAATACGAACGCCTGGGTCACTGCAAACAGATCGATAACAGCAGAGATCCACCCAATATTCCAATGTGCTACCTACCACACCATGCTGTTATCCGTCCTGATAGCTCCTCGACAAAGTGTAGGGTTGTCTTCGATGCCAAGCCATCGAAAAACAAATTCTAGTTGCTTTGATTCATCTGTGCCTCCAGAGATTTTTTTGGAGAGAGAGTCCCAAAAACCCGTTGAAATTGTACGAACTAACCACCGTAACATAGGGTACAGCAACTCGTTGCTTAGTGCAGTTGGCTGAAGATGGCAAGTCGGAGTATCCTTTACGAGCGTGCACAGTGAAAGAAGATTTTTTGTGGATGACGTTTTGTCTGGAGATGATACGTTGGAAGCAGCTATCGAGCGACATAAACAGGTGAAAGATGTGTTCGCTAGTGCTGGGCATCCCATTCATAAGTGATGCTCAAACTCCGAGAAATTGCTGGAACACATTCCGGAAAGTGAGCGTGAAAAAAAAAGATCCTGTAAGAGCAAGGTATTAACACAGTGATCAAGATGCTTGGTATCTTGTGGGACCTTCAAAGTGATGAATTACTGTTCTCAATTAAGTCACCAAATTTTACGAAGAGAATTATTTTGTCTCAGATTGCCTAGTTGTACAATCCTCTTGGATTCTTATCGCCAGTGATTGTTCTTGTTAAGTTGCTCATGCAGCAGTTGTGGCGAAGCAAGGTAGATTGGGACGAACCAGTTGAAGACGCAATAAGTGTACAGTGGTTGCAGATCAAGAAAGCACTCGCAATAACGAATTAGGTCTGCATTCCAGGGCGTTTGCTAACTGACGGAGCAATGTGCTATGAGTTCCATGGTTTCGCTGATGCTTCTATGCCTGCTTATGGAGCATGCGTATATATTTTATTTTTTAATCACCATCTTTGACATTTTAGCCATACAGACTGTGACTTAATCTTATTCTTAAAAAACTGGTCTACTTATATTAAAATCAAAAACATCACACACATCATTAAACAGTCTGCAACATCTATCGAGAGGATTATTATAACCGTAAGCAGTACGATGTTCGGGAGTCCACAGAAAGTAATAGTTGCGGAGACGGCGAGCTGGAGTGTGGAAATTGATGTTCCCGAGCAAACAACTGCACTCAATATGATTACTAATCATGTCAAATATGAACATCCTCTGGAGAAAGACTCGGCGATTTGTTATTGTTTGTAGTCCAATAAGCGCACATCTATGCTCGTACGGAGGTAAGCTATCTTGATTTGTCCATGGCAGACGTCGTAATGCAAACTTTCGTTTCTGGATTCTCTCGTTGGGCAGTACATGAACAGCATGATATGGAGTCCAAATTTGTACTCCATATTCAAGAACACTGCGGACCACAGAGCAGTACAGCGCTTTCAGGGCGTACACGTCATCGAATTGTGCAGTATTGCGGTGCAAAAATCCTAGCATGGAGTTGGTCTTTGCAACTGTCATGGATATGTGCTCGTTAAACCGTAGTTTGCAGTCCAAGATCAGCCCAAGATCCTTAATGGCACTAACCCTTTCCAGCGGCGATTGATTCATAGAGTAATCAAAAATGGTCGGACAGTGAGAGCGGGTAATGGTAATCACTTTGCATTTGGCAGCATTGGCTTGCATTCCATTCATCTGAGACCAGGATTACAATCGCTCTATATCAGCTTGTAGTGTGCAACAATCCACGATCGATTTGATCACACGGTACAGCTTAAGATCATCCGCATATAGTAACTTACAGGAACTTAGCTATCACACACGTCGTTGATAAACAGAACGAAAATGAGAGGTCCAAGGTGACTCCCTTGTGGAACCCCCGTATACCTCGGATCTGGAATCACGTACCTTAACGAAAGCCTTCCTGGAAGATAAGTATGATTTCAACCAACAAACGATCCACGGTGGAAGAACAAGGCGGTTTAGCTTCATAATTGCTAGGTCGTGAGCGACTTTGTCAAAAGCCTTAGAGAAGTCGATGTAAACGGAGTCCACTTGCTGACGCTTCTCGATGCTACCTATAAAAGTGTTCGTGTAAGTCATCAGGTTAGAGACTGTCGAGCGCTTTTTCATGAATCCATGCTGAAACTCTGAGATTATGGGTTGAACAGCTGGATACAACTTCTCATGCAGAAGACTTTCGAGAAATTTGGCCAAGCAGTTCAGGATCGAGATAGGTCGGTAATTTTCCACTTTGTGCATGTTACCGGACTTGAAGATTGGTGAAGATTGGCGAGCTTCCAGGCATCCGGAAAAACGCCATCCTTAAGCGATCGATTGAAAATAGACATAACGGGAGTGGCCAACGATGTTGTCGAAAGACGGTGGAATACGGTCCGGGTCTGGACCTTTCGATAGAATAGCGTCTTGACTGAAGATGAGCTGCTGCAGGTGACTGTCGTATCTTGGTAGCTGATCAATGTATTGCTGCGGTGGAGGAGTTTGATCGGGTTCGAAACCACTTCAGAAAAAGTCAGTGAAAAGGTCAGCATAAGCGGTGTCGGTGGTGGAGCTTCTACTACCGTAGGTGACGTCCACGGGAATACTAGCTGATATTTTCCGAGAGTTGATAAAAGACCAGAACGACGATGGATTTTCCTGCTTACCATTTCCGAGCTTCCTGCAAACTTTTATACTCTGCTTCTACTAGCTGCACCGTATACTTGTTTGCTGCGGTCCGGGAACGAAAGTAACGTTTTGAACTTTACGCAGACGGTTACACAGATTACGCCAAGGTTGTTGGAATTGCAAACAAGATTTTCGTGTCTTCACCGGAACATTATCTTGGATTACTTTATAGATGTTGTCGTAGAATACGGAGACGGCGGCATCAATGGTGGGTTGGTCAAGTATTTGTACCCAATCCAAGGCGGCAATCCTCGTGTTAACAACATCGAAATCACATTGTGCAAAATTATACTCACTGCGGGCTGCTGGGTACGGGAGCGGATGATCTCTCGAACGGGAGTCAACTTTTAGAATCAACGGCTTGTGGTGACTACCAACTTTCATAATTGCAGAGGGTGGTTCAAACAGCTCGATGCAATCGGAGTCACTGACGAGAACCAGGTCAAGAAGCTTACCATTCGTGTTCACCAGATCGTTGAATTGCTTCAATCCAGCAGACAGTATGGACTCCACTACAGCGAGTTCCTGTTCTGATGAAGCATTGAGAGGCAGAAATCCTCTGACGTCCTCATCGAAGTCCCAAGCTAGATTTGGCAGATTGTAATCGCCC